AGAGTTCTTGTCCCTTGGAAGGTATTAAAGAAATGTGGGCTTCAATGAATGAATAAACAAAAGCATGAACAGAGGTTAGAGGTTTAAGGTAGGCAAGAAGGGCAAGATACAGAAGGATAAAATGTGTAAACTTGTTCCTCTATCCTACTCCCATGCTTCAAGTATTCAGGAGTTGATATGTTGAAAAAGAAAACACAGAGTCAGTCACATCATCTCTTGTTCAGGGCAAGGGAGCTACCTGGAGAGTTGGCCATAGCCCCAAACCCAGTTTTTGTACTCAGCCCAGTGAAGAGGCTGAAAGCTCTCCTCACATCTCAGCCTAATAGCTATAGGCTTTTGTTTTTCTTCTCAGCCTGTATGCCCAATTACTAACCCACAATTGCTTTGACAGGAAAAGTAGCAAAGGATGTCAGGATTTCTTCAGCAAGTCCCCTTTTCCCTGGGATCTTGGCCCTTGGTATCTCTCCAAGACTTCTGAAAGAAGTGTGGGTATTTTCTCTAACACTTGTGTTTATTCTTGGTGGGAGGTTTAGTCCATTGTAAACTACACCATGGGCCTTTTTCCAGTGTACTTCAGGTGACAATGATGAGGACTGAGACTCTGTGACTCAGGCCAGTATTCTTATTGGACAGAGGAGAGTCTGAGGCCCAGTCACCAAATTTGCTAACACAATGGACACTAAAACCTAGGACTCCTGATGCCCAGGCCTGTGTGCTTTCCACGCCAAGCCAGTCCCCCAAGAGGTGCCCCTTCCATTTTATTTCCTTCCACTCTTGCAAGTTGGCTGGTTGCCTCTGACTTTGAGATGTATTGTGGGCCCTATTTCCCATGCACCACCCCTCCCATGGGTGGGAAGTGTTAGTGCCCTGAGAAAGTAGGTGCCTCAGCCCTTCCTCACCCTCCTCTCCCTGCCCTAGGGCAGACCGCAGAGCAGACCTTATCCCAGACATGCAGTCAGTTGTGGCTGGACCCTGATGGGCCTGAAGAGCCTAATTACAGCCTATGTCTTCCTGAGTAATTATGGGCCTCCCCAGGACTCCAGGGTGTTCTGGTCCCTTCTCCCAATTCTGCACCTCGGCCACCACTGCTAATGCTTCCTGCTTGGCCCGAAATGCCTCCCCCCTGTTCTGAGCAGACATTTGCCCTTCACCCCTGCCAGCACCAATGTCTCATTACTGGCTGGGTCAGGGGCTCTTTGTCCCGGAGAGGACCTTGGTCAGGCTCCATCTACATTCCTTCCCCCTACGCTAACCGCTAAGCTATGGCTGCTGACCAGGACCTGGCTCTCAGTTCTCTAACCGCATGACTCATGGCCAGTTCAGAGGGGCAGGCAGGCCTCTGCTCACCTAAGGAAGACAGACTTTCAGAGTCTCCTTTCCGCTCTGGAGAGACCTTATAGCTCTGCAGAGAAAGGGTCTGCAGCCCTCCCCCTTGTCTAGGCAGCAGCCAGGCCTAGAGGCCCCTGCAGTGAAAGGCTGGCGAGAGCAGGAGCCCCTGGTCTGGTATGATGAGGAGCAGAGGCAGTGGTGGTGGGGTGGGGGGCAAGCAGCATGGGCCTCTGAGTCTCTCAGGACTGGGGTGGAATCCCGAGTCCCCCACTGACCGTGTGGTCTTGAGAAAGTAGCCGTTCTCTGTACCATGGTTTGTTATCTGTAAAATGTGGGAACAACCTCAATACTGGGGACACAGCACTCAGTTGACACATGTTAACTGCCCTCATCACCCTTCCCACCTCCACCCCGCAGGAGAAGTGAGAAGTGACAGCAGAGCTATCAGAGGGCGAGACCGGGACTACGGCAGGGTCATGTAGACACACCAACAAATGCAGCTCCTTCCGCCAGTCCGTGGCACGGGCAGCAAAGGGAGGCTTTGTCTGCAGTGCAGGCACCTGGTGGTGGCCACGCGGATGCCTGTGAGATGTAGACAGGCTGCAGAAGACATCATGCCTTGATCTCCTGGTGGCTGCTGCCCAGGACCCCATCTGGTTCTCTGAGATGAGGACAGTGGTGGGAGCCATAGCTGTGGGTAGCGGTGGAAGAGGAGGTAAATCTGGAAGTCCTCCCTCCTCTCACACTCGGGGCTGCAGTCAAGTGGACAGTGTGACTGTGGCTTCTGCACAAACGTCTACCAGGAGCATGTGGGCACTGGACCCTCCCCATCCTGGGAAGGATGCTCCCAAGCTGCTCAGGAAGAGGTGCCAGAAGGGCTGGGTGGATGAGGGACCTCGATCTCTGCCTTCGCTCCTTCGCAGCTGGCATAGAAACCCTTCGAAAGCCTCACTGTGGGTTGCTGTACATGTCAGGGGCCAGGAAGGAGAGGGCACGCAATGAAGATGGTGGCCCAGGGAGGAGTGGGTCCTAGGGAGAGGCCAGGAACCTTCAGCAGGGACAGCACAGGGTGTCCTTGTCCAAATGTAACTTTTCAGGATTTTCCTGTGTCTAGGCTGGAGGTGGGGATTGTGGACTTGTCCACTCAGAGGGCAAGAATGGGGAGAGTGAAAAGCCAGGAGCTGAGGGCCAGCCCGAGGGAGCTGCTATTTCAAGAGCAGGTTGAAGACAAGCCCAGAGGAGCAGGCCAGAAAGAAGCAGGGACAGGGGCAGGAGGCAGTGCCCATCCCACCATGGAGGAGAGGTTGTCAGTAGGAGAAGAGGCTGTAGAGCTCGGGGCCCTTGGGGACTGTCAGGTGCAGTTCTCGATTGTGTAGAAGAAATGTGAGTTCTGGGGCCAGCACATAGCATGGAAGTTGGTGCAGCTGGATCCCACGTGACTGACTGCACGGTTCAAATCCTATACCCAGTAGCTTGAGAGAGACATGGGCTGGGCTGCATGTGCATGTGTGCCCAGAATTCCAAGAAATTGGAAGAGAAGGGACTGTGGCATGTCCATCTGCCTGGAGGGTGCTTCCTCACTTTCCCTCTTTCTGTCTCTAGCAAGCACGCATGCCACATAGCAAACATTTTTTACAGTTTAAAAAAAAAAAAAGGAAATGTGAGTTCTGGAACGGGAGAGACTGGCCCGGTGTGGGTCCACCGCTCGCACAGACTTGTGGGGCCTCTCCACCCTGAATGGCTCTCTGCTGTTCCAAAGCTCCTCCGGCCCAGGTGCCAGGAGCAGAGTTAGGGTGCAGACAGATGCTGCAGCTTCGCCAGTGCTCAGATAGTCTGGCCAGGCTGGCGGAGGCAGCTCCTGCGTGGGCATCTGCCTGTGCCCGTGTTGTTCTGGCAGCTCTGTGGCCCGGGGCGCTGTGCAGACCCACGGGCAGGTCCTGCCTCCCAAGCGTCTTCACCGAGGCCAGCAGACCCCACCCCCAGATGACCAGGCTGGAATCGCCCGCTGCTGGCCTGCCACGTGAGGCGATGCAGAGCCACATCCCCATGGCAAGAAGTAGGCACGGGCAGACAGTGGCAGGGAGCTGACTGGAAGGTTTTTACTGGCTCTGGTGGCGCTGACTCTGTCTGGGCTTCAGTTTCCAGCTTAGGTCATAATACAGAACGGTATTCACTGACATTTAGAAACCCTCCAAGAAGGGGGGCAGCAGGCAATGGGGAATGGGGGGGCGGGGGCAGCAGGTCTCATCATCCAGGAGGAAGGGGCCCTGGTGACCCAGAACTGGATCATGGCAACTTGGAGGACTCTCAGCTCTTGGTGCGCAGAACCCATCCCTTCCCCCAGGAGGCCCTCCTGGATCCTAGTTTCCACTCAGGAAGCTGTGGGATGTCACTGCCCCTCTCTGGGCTTCATATGCCTCCTCTGGAAAATAAAGAAATTGAACTAGGTCCCATCTGATTAGAAATGCTAGGATTCTCTTGAGAAGGGGGTGATGTAACAGCAGAGTTCTCGTGGGGACCTGATTGGGCACCTACCCACTGACTCGGTGCCCAGATCGCCAACGAAAGCCAGGCCCATGCCGTGCCTTGACCTCATGATGGTTTAAGCTGTTGTTCTTCACAATCACTGTCCTCAGGAAGCCAGACAGCTCTCTGTCCTTTGTGTCCCTGAGGCATTCTAATATGCCCAGGAAAAGTGACAGCCACTTTCTGCTTGGTGTCCTCAGCATTGGTACAGCTGGGGGGGGCGGGATTTTGGACCTACACAGCCAGAAGGACATGAGGTTTCTCTGATCCTGGCTTGGGCACCAGATGGAGCTCCTTAAGGAAGGGCCATGTCCCACTGGGCCTGTAACGGGGTCCACCACTGCTTGGTGAATCATGCTCTCCAAGCATATTCTGAGTTTTCCCAACCTTGTGCCAGGCTCTGTGCCCGGGTGTGAGATGTGGCCCCACTGTCTAGCAGAGCCCAACCGGCACCCAGCATTTGTTTTCACTGTGTGTGACTTCTCTTTCTACAAGTCAATGAGAAGATTCAGAAAGTAGTAGTAGCTGTAAGAGCTCAGAGAATAGGGTAGAGTGCTCAGGGAAGGCTTCCTGGAGGAAGAGATCAGCCTTCCTTCAGGCTGTCACTGTGTTCGTTTACACTAAGTTGTTTGTTTCTCACGCCTCACTTTCCTGGCTTGCTTCTTCCTGTCACCTGACTTCACCCTAGTTCTCAGAGGCCTGAGCGGTCATAGCACAGGGAGGGGAGGTAAGTACAGCAGCCGAAGACCGTGAGGAGGTGTAGAGGCCAGACGGGCCTCCGGAACAGAGCAGATAGTCCTGGATGGCCTTGGCCTTTCCGAGTGCTCAGTTCTCAGGCCCCTCTCCCTGGGCATGTATGTGCAGCAATGGGCAGAGCACAGTAAGTGCCCACCACCCTCCGGGCCTTATGCCAACAGTGAGGCAGGTGGTCACACAGAACCTGCTCTTCTTACCCCCACTGCACAAATGGCAAAGCTGCATCAGAGCATCAAACGACCAGCCTGACCTCCAGGGCCCAGAGGAGGCAGTCCTGGGTTTAGCTTCTGTCTGACCTCGGGCTGTCGCTGCTCCCACTCAGTTCACAGACAAACCTCATGAAGGCAACCCCTCAAAACTGACCTCTCCCTTCTTCTTTCCAATCCTAGGTGCCCCCGGCCCTCCAGGACCACGAGGACCCAAAGGAGACATGGGCGTGAAAGGGTCTGTTGGCAACAGAGGACCAAAAGGAGACCCTGGCAGCTTGGGCCCCCCGGGACCCCAGGGTCCTCAGGGCCAGCCTGGGGAGGCCGGACCTATGGGAGAAAGGGGTCCTGTTGGACCGCGAGGCTTCCCAGGCCTCAAAGGCTCAAAGGGCAGCTTTGGAACTGGAGGGCCAAGGGGACAGCCAGGCCCCAAAGGGGATGTGGGACCTCCAGGGCCTGAGGGGCCCCCAGGGTCTCCAGGGCCCCCAGGGCCTCAGGGAAAACCAGGGATTGCAGGGAAAACAGGGTCCCCAGGCCAGCGAGGGGCCATGGGACTTAAGGGCGAACCAGGGATTCAGGGTCCGCCTGGCCTGCCTGGGCCCCCAGGCCCACCAGGAAGCCAGAGCCCCTACTGAGCCCTGGCCAGGACACTGCCACACAGACTGCTGGAAGTGGGCTCAGAGTGGCCGGAGCATCTGAAAGTCTCACCTGCAGACAACCGTCACCTCCAGGCTTTGGTTCTGATGGGGGTTCCCAGGGCTGATCCTGAAGCTTTGGGCTCCACAATAGCGACTGAACTATAGGAAAACAGCCCCCTCCATGCACACACGCACACATATACATACACACACGTACACACACATGCACACACGTATTTACACTCACATACATTTCCCTGCTGGCCAGGAGGCCAACTGGTTTCCCTGGCTGGGCAGGAGGAAAGGGTAGAAGAAGACCCCCCTGTCCTGTGACTGAGCCTGCCAGTGGGTGGTGGCTACCTCGGGAAAAAGGTCTTGCTCTATGTCTGCGTTATGACCAACTCAGTCTTCCCAAGCATCTTCACAACTGCCTAGCCAGCAGTCCCCTGGGACTCCCAATGTTTGAAAAGGCCTTGGTAGGTAGGAAACCTTGGCAGGGCATTATAATTCTGACTGCAGGGACAAGGTGGATTGGCAACCGCAAGCCCTCCCTTAATCATGGGAGCAGAGTCCCCACATAGGACGGTGGGACTCCACTTGGCCCAGCTTTTCGGGTCCTGCACACAGTGCTCCTGACAAGTTCAGAAAATTCCTTGTTTTGTCCTTGCCTCTGCCTTTCTGGAACAGTCTGGAAAAAAATCCCAAGAAAGGAGTTTTGTCTCTCCAGAAGGTCTCTAGGCTCTGGAACATTCTGCCTACGAGGTACCCAGCACCCAGGAAGGCCACCGAAGCTGGAGGCAGAGGTGGGCAGGAGGGTTCTCTCTGCAAAGCTGTTTCCTTTGCTCCACCTCAGACCAGGATTCTCTGTAGTGTCCAGGAAGACCAGCTGCAGGAGGGCCCACCCCTGACAACAAGGCGGTTCTTGCCTCTTGCACCAGCTCTCTTGACCAAAGCTGTATGCTAACCTCACCCTACTGTGACCCAGAATGGCCCAAGCCCTGTATGGACTAGGAGTGGGAAGGATCTGGACATCCACAAAAGGCTCACTTTGATGTCACCCCTTGCTCCTTGCCAACTTCTCGCAGACACTGGCAGAAAGGAGCACCTGGAAGCTTCCATGGCAGAGTGAAAGCAACCTTCATTGGCCTAACCACACTGCAAAGCTGCCCTTCATGTCCAAATAGACTCAGGCCACCCCTGGGTAGGGACATGGAAATGTCTCCTCCCCAACATTGACTCCAAAGATAGCTCCATCCAAAGCCTTTATGCCACCTTCCTTATTGTCATAGACATGCAACTGGTTTGCATGCCCTCCCGTGCCCACTGCCATGTAATTCTCCTGTCTACATATGTAATATGTAATAGTATTACTGACTCAGTAAAGAGCTGTTTCCAGGAGAAAGGTGTCTTCTAGTTCTTTCTGCCCGAGCTGAGGGCATGATGCCTTCAGGGATCTACTTCATGTTTGTCCTTGAAGGGGAGTCAATGACAAGGGTTCCCTGGACCTTCAGTCCCCCTGCAAGATCTAGGTCTAAACCCCCAGTCTCTCATTCCAGAAACACTGAGCTCCGTCAGGAGTTTGCAGAGGTTGTGTGGGGCTGAGGACCAAGAGCATCTGAGGGAATTACCCCTAGAGAGCAAGAACCAAGCAGAGAACAGGGCTATGAATCTTGAGGCTCTGTCCTCTTTGGCCAAAATAAAATTGGAAAATAGGACAGGTCTGGACACCTGAGGGATGACTTCTGCTTCCCTTTTTTGTCTCTAAGACAAAGAGATAGAGAAGAGACGGCAAAGGAAACCAGGCTAGACCTATCCAAAGAGTCTGTATCTGTGGGGTCTAAAGGAAAGAGTCTGGGTCCCCTGAACCTGTAGGCAGAACCTGCTCCAGGAAGACTTTCAAGGCAGAGTAATTTCATTTGCTAGTAAAACCTGGCCTAGCACAAGCCCTCAGCCCTGTTTTAATTTTTTGTTGGGACTGAAAGGTGGGATGGGGTGGGGGGCTGTTCAGTAGAAAAAGTGAGCAAAGGGGGACCAGCAGTTGGCATAATGGCTATGTTGCTGGACTTGCATGTAGTCAACCACAGTTCAAGTCCTGGACCTGGTGGTTTAAACTCATGCTGGGTGTGTGTGTGTGCGTGCCCAAGATCCTGAGAGGAGAATGGAGGAGAAGGGATTGCGGCATGGCCATCCCCCCGGAGGGGGGTGATTTCTCACTTTCTGTCTCTCTGTCTTTCTGGCGAGCACATGTGCCCTATAGCAAAAACTTAAAAAAAAAA